CATCCATCATCACTGCGCATCCATCGTCACTACCCATCCATTACGCATCCATCATCACTACGTATCCATCATCACTGCGGATCCAATTCTGAGTGGGTATCTATTGTTACCATTATCAATGTATAGAATAATAAGCCACAAAAACCCTGGCTCTGTTGCTTAAATTTGAATTCCCCTCTGTCCAGATTGGAGGTAGATATGACAACGTTTTCCCAACAGCTTTCAACAATCCTATCAAGAAATATAAGTTCATCGCTAATAGCATTGACGAACTGGTGAACAATTTTTACGGACGAGCTAAAAACAGTCCAAAAATACAAGCAGAATAAATAGATACTATACAGAATTGTATCTGTTTAAGTCTAGTTGAAAGCTGAGGAAATGGAAAGCATTTTGCAATTGCCCTCAGGGCGTCAAAATTCGTGAAAAAATATTTTTGAAAGAAAACGTCATCGACGCTTATGCTTGTTCTTGATGTTAATTGTGATATTTATGTCACGTACCACCTATTACGCTCTTAAAATATCAGATTATATTGAAGGGATTTAAAGAAGTTAAACGGGCGTATTATGATAGATGAGGCGGTAAGCCGTGTGGGATGTGCTCGGATATCAAATAAGAACATGCGTAATAGATAAATTACGAGCCTTATAAACTGAAGAACAGTGCCATACAATCCTTTCACAACTTCAAGTCGTGTAAAAAATGAGCCAGCTCAACTAGAAACCGTGGACGTATTATGATTAGACTTTAGTATATTTCTCGCATGTGTCGTTCCACAATTCAAACATTCTGGAGTCAAATTAAGCTTTCGTGGTATGTTTATTTTTGGAGCAGAGCTTCTTTGGCTTGAAAGAGTTTGTACGTCTCTCCCTTGACGCGAGGGGTTTCTTTGGATTTTCAGATTTCCTCCCTAAACTAAGCCTTACAAAAGGTAAATTTCTGCGAGTGAGACGTGCCCTGACTAAGATCAGCCCAGAGRTTGTTTCAGGGCTCTATGAAATTTGGAAAGTTACCATTCCGTGTTGGCGCTGGCAAGGTAAATGTGATTTCACGCGCAAACATTAGGTCATCTGAAGTCGCCGATTCCATGACCGTGAGGGTGTGTTTAATAGTCTTTCAATTATCTCAAATGCCGTGGTTGGATCAACGAGTGTCACGGATGATTCCGTAGCTTGCCGCGGCTTTTTAACTATGCGTGAACTGTTTTAATCGCAAAGAACAGCAGCTCACGATCTTTGATCAGGTAGACTAGTGTCACACAGCATCCCTTTTTTTTCGTTCTTCTTTCCTCTTTTTATATCAAATATCCTGCTTCCTTGTAATACATCTGTCAGTCCATCTTTAGTTTCTACATTTATAGTCGAGAATCGCAGTTTATGATTACTACTCTGCCCAGTAGACCTAGGCTCAGTCTCCAGCCGTCGGGGTTTCGCCCGCGATAGTAGACCCGAGGATATATGTTTTTATTTTTTATCGCCTTCTTAACATCTGTAATGTTAATCGCAATTGCAGTTCGAATAGACCACGTGATCCAATGTTGTACCACGTGGGCAAGTTTTTCACACCACGTGATAAAAACTTGAATGCATTTCAGTCACGTGGTGTAAACATTATTCACGTGGTATAACTTTGGATCACGTTGTCTATTGTGAATATACTTGCGTAAAACATAAAAATAAAAAATGCCTCGGTCTACTGAARAGAGTGGTAATTTTTTTTTTAAAGTTTCTGAGAGACCAGAATCAAACTCATCCATATTCCCTTCACCAAGAACGTATATTTTTCTCTCTCTAAAACACTCTCCCTCCTCTCTGGCCTCTAATTATTGCGCCTTTCCATAATTTGCAAAATATTTATAGGGGTTTCGGTTTAAAATGAATAGATTAAGATTCTATCGCTCTACTTTTTCAAAAAGAAACAAGAAAAACAGAAAAACCATGATTAAACTTTTTCATTGCTTTATTAAGGGTTTCTAAATTTTAACTTACGCTGTCCAATCAGATCGCCAAAATGTGAAGCCAGTTGATAGTTAGGGTAGTGTAGTGTAGTTTTCCATCACGTGAAAACCCTTCTGAGTGCCGCGTTATACTACGCGTGTGACATCTGCCAACGTTTCCAGATTCAAAGCATTTTGGCCCCAATAACATCGATGTTCGAGAAAAATCTATAGCTAACATCTAGAATCGATGTTATCTACACAATATCTCTCTATCAATTACCCTAAACTACAATAAAAGAACTTAGCTTCAACGTAGGCGTTCAATATCCTTTGTCATTAAAAAACCCACCAACTTTAGATTAAAACGCGACTGTACGTCATGTTGATTGCATATCTACTGCATAACAATCCACGCCAAGGAAAATGTAGTAAAAAAAAAAACAAAGACGGTTCTCTATGTATGCATTAAACACTAGGATGGCCTACTCAATTGAAAGTAATGTTCCTGCGAGTCCTATGTTTTATAGATTATTATTACTTTTAGTTTTTCGGTACTAGTAAAAAAACTACGGTTTTTCTTTCCTTCTGTTTTATTTTTTCGCTAAATTTTGTATCATATTCTAGTAGAACTTCATTCCTCAAATTTTTTTTTTTCTCGACCCGTGTGTTTAAATAAATCTTGATTTTCTTGCTTGATTATTACAATTTTGACGCATTGAAATTATTAGGAACTGTCACAAATAAAAACATTCAATAAAATGACCAATGCATCAATATTATAGTGATTTAAAAAATATGTTCTAACCGGGCCAGAACCATGAATGACAAAATGTGTACTGAATGATAGCTAACGCTAAGAGAAGGAATTTCTAAGGCTCGAATACATCAATAGATAAAACAATAAATAATGCTATCTAAAGCTCGCAAAAAAYGTCTGCTTTTGCTATCTTAGAGATTCGAATGATCGTTAATGCGTGGATCGCTCTATTACACTCTTTTTCATTATCTCGGCGTTGTATTACAGTGATCTTAATAGTGCAATTAGAAATCTCTCAGGTCTCTCCCGGTAGGCTTTTCTCAGAGTCCTCAATCCTCATGCTATCGTTCAAGTCAAGTAATTATGATATCATAGGGGTAATCTTTATTCGAAAACCCGCACAACGTCATAGACAATGGCAACAAATGTATCTGAATGTCACGCAAATCGGCTCTGGGGGAGAAAAGTACTAGTTTCGACCATCTGTGCGTCTTAGTAAAATCTTGTATGGAACAAATGCTATAAAGATCTTCTTATATTATCGCTGGTACAATCTTCGTACGTTAGGAACGATTAAAATAATCTTGGGTTAATGTGAGAAAGTAGTACGAAGAACAGAAATTAGGGAACTTTTGAAGGCCATGGTCATCGAAAATTATGCCTTCTTCATCCTGTTGTATCGCACAAAAAAAATTTTCAATGTAATTGATTTTTCTTAGCATTAGCAATCTCCCACGTTTAGCATTAATGAAATCTAAAATACAGGAAACTAGGAGTTGATTCTTAGCAGTTTTTCACGTCATTGTACTACAATTTTATTCGCGGTAAAAAAGGGTCAAATGCCGGAGTGAGATTGGAGACAATCAATGACGCAAACGATTAGCGGTTAGTCGAAGAGAGTATGCGTACACCCTGTATAAACCCTTTCGTTGAAAACATTCCGTATGGRTGTTTGTGGAGTTTAGCCAGATAGAAATAGAGTCAATAACAAAGCTATGCTTGGTATAACAAACTATGAGCGGTGGCAGATTTGATTTTGATGATGGAGGAACGTACTGCGGCGAATGGAGAAACGGCAAAGCCCATGGATACGGTATATGTACAGGGCCAAAAGGACAAGCTAGGTATGAAGGTAGTTGGCACAATGGCTTCGAAGCTAGTGGGGTATATGTTTGGCCGAATGGACATAGATATGAAGGAGAATGGTGTAATGGTCGCCGACATGGACTTGGCGTAGAAATCCGAGGGAAGTGGACTTATCAAGGAGAGTGGGAAGAAGGCTTTAAAGTAAGATATGGAGTTCAGAAATGTGAAAGTGGTGCAAAATACGAAGGGAGTTGGACCTCTGGACTGCAAGAAGGATATGGAATCGAAATCTATGCCGATGGCGGTGAGTTAAAGTTATCTTTTCGCTTATTAAATAAGTTCCTGTACTAAGACTTTGCTACAGATTCCTCAGATATTTACCTTCGAAGCCAACGAAGAAGGACGCAAGCAGCGTGAGTTAAAGCATATCTAACATGTTCACAGCCTGTCTACTAAGGACGGCTAATTTTGAAAACTTGAAGATAAACATTGCTTATTTTTTACTCCATTCGGGTTCGTTGAGTTATATTTGAGAGTCCGATCTCTAGGATTCGTAGTTATATATTCAGTGAACTTTGAGCTAGAATTTCGTGTGTTTTTGAAGTGGTTAAAATCAATCAGCTTAAAGCAACTATGTTCATTTCACTTGAAATGAATTAACTCTCAACTTGTCAAATTTTTGACATCAATATGGCTTAATTTTCGCTTACGATAATAAGTTTTATATTTATTAAGCTATTGATTTCTCGAACATGTTTTCAAAGTTGCTACATATAACGAGATTCATCAAAAGGATCGGGTAAAAAATTAAGTTATTTGAAGAAGCTCAAATCAGACTGCCTCAGAAAATGTAAGCTTGTATTATAAACTCGCACGAGACACGTTCATAACCTCATATTTATTTAGTTTATTGAGCTTACTATGTTTTTGTATTGGAAGTCGATAGAAGTCTTGCTTCTTTACGCTGTTTATATTCTCAAAGCTGTTATCTTTCGATGCACTATCATGTTTTCCTATGTTTTGCGAGTATACTTTCAACTTAATTAAGCTTAATAAATAATTATTACAATACAAGTATCAAGTTAGAGATGACATTTCCTTCTACACTACGAATGATGTTTTTTTATTTTACCGTCGGCTTAGCGAAACACTTCTGTATTCTATTTTGGTCTCTTCGCCAAAGCTAATTATTATTTGTACAGACAGATGTCCTTAAAAACACAAAAGCTGTTCTTAAATGTTTCAGAAACCTTACTCAGCTATCATTTATTCGTTATGCTGAATGTATTGGTAAGGCTTTGGTATACTCCTTATCACTGTTTGGTCTCGAAATCAGTTCATGTATTGAGCTCGAATGTGGAATGAAACACAATTATTTCTCTAAGAATAAACAATTGCCCTCTATTATTCTAACCAGGTCTGTCTGCCTATCATTATATAAATGTACTCCAATTTGTTAGACCAAAAATTTATCCTTTTGGACTCTTTTAATGTTAATTTATATTTCCACTTTTATTAGCTTAGCCCTGAAAACAATTTTAAGATGCTTCTAAAATTAAAACAGTGTAGATTATGTTTATATCTGAAGATTATTATTCCTATAAGTCTAAAAGGTTCTCTGTAATTTTGCATCAGCTTTACTTTGGAATCTGCTTGAATATTCAAAAAAATGATCTATACTTATAAGCTGTTTCGATTGTTTGTAAGAGCTCAACTCTCTTGGGTGTTCCAATTTTCTTTTCCTCCACAATTTTGGACTTAATTTTTCCAGTGTTTAGAATGCCTTCCATTTATCTA